AGAAAATCATGGTGATTTGATACGTGGCTGGATTATAGCGATTATATATTATATCTCTAAATGGTGGAGTTTCCATTAAATATTGGTTTAGGGGGAAATCTTCACCAGAAACCATGGATTTCCAGTAAAAAAATAAATGGGGGGTCCGGAAAATGGTGCCGTTTGACCAATCCACCGACAACAAGAAGCTGCGTATACAATAATCATTGGCTAATCATTGTGGCTAATTATTGTATCATAATAAAACTAATCATTGGCTAATGTGGCTAATCATTGGCTAATCACTAGTGGCTAATCATTGGCCGACAACAAGAAACTGCTCCATATTGTTCCCATTAGTGGCTAATCATTGGCTAATTATTGTGGCTGATAAAGATAATTAAGCATTGTTTCCCATTAGTGGGTAATTAACCTTACAACCCTTAGAAGATGCTAATGGTCTCATGTAGTGGCTTACTATTGTATGATTGGCTTGGCTCATTGGCTGGCTTGGCATTGGAATCATGCTGATTCTAATTCGATGTTTTTCTTGGGAAAATACTATAATTGTAACATGCTTTTGGTGCATTAGTAGCTACACTGGTGCTTTTGGGAAATGTGCCAATTATTAATCTTAGTAATAGTAATAGAAAAATAATGATAGTAACGATGATGATGATGATGGTGATGATGGTGATGATGGTGATGATGGTGATGATGGTGATGATGGTGATGATGGTGATGATGGTGATGATGGTGATCGTGATAGTGATGGTGATAGTGATGGTGATAGTGATGGTGATAGTGATGGTGATGATGGTGATGATTGTCATGATTGGCATGATTGGCATACTGAATCGTACTGATATGTAATGAACTAATGGGAAGTGGGGGAACCTTTGGAAATCCACTCAGATGGAATCATTCTTCAAAAGAAGCAGGGGACCCCAAAACCCTCCAAGTTATTGGTCACAGTGTCTGGTTCGATTGCCAGAGCGTATCTTCATTGGTTTGAGGGTATATCACCATAGATGCTTGGTTTTCACCATTGAGGGACCCAGAACCAACGTTGCGGACTTAGCGCGGGGAGGGGGCAACCCCCATGGAAGTCCACCTTTTTCGCAGATGACTGCGCACTCGATCGCTGGAAACCAGCTAGAGAAGACCTTTGGCCGCCCTATGTGATCGTTCAATTTAGAGATTGGAGCTGGTGGTGCTGCCGGATGCAAGAAATTGGCCACAAAAAATGGGTCAAATGCCGACCCTGAAAACAATGCCATGGCATCCCATGGCCCATCCAACAGGGATCAACAAAGAAGAGCTGAAAACAGAACGATCCTGCTTGGTTGGCGATATCCCCCTTTTCATGGTGCTTAAAGCATTTGAAACATTTGAAACCTCCATTTGTAATGTGTGGAGCCAAGAAGTTTCACCTCATGAATGACGGCATCATCTCCAACGGCAAGTTAAAGGCAATATTCAAATTACATCCCCACAGGAAGGACTCCTGGCTTACGATCGGTAAGTAAGTTGGTAAACTAGGACAACTAGGAGAACAGAAGTTGATAGATGTATCATATATGGGGGTTTCCATAAATGGGGGGTACCCCTAAGTCATCTATTTTAATAGCATTTTTCCCTATAAACCATCTGAAATTGAAAAAACGCATTTTGTTGTAAGATGTTACAAGCTAAGCTTGGTGCTGGCATTGGCGCAGTGCAATTCAGAGTATTCAGAGTAACAAACAAAACGACATGCACTTCACATGCAGAGGAAAAAAACATCCTTTGTAGTTCTATCATCAGCAGTCCTTACAAGAAATTCTGGGACCCATGGAAACATCGCTCCTGTTTTCCAAAACCCACATAGATCCCTAAGAAAGCACGGCAATCGCAGCAATCACCATCTCGACGATGCATATTCGACTGGAGTCCTTCAGATTCACTGGCAGTTTTGGTTCAAGGTTCAGCAGGCAGTTTCCGAAAAATTGCCGTGTTCCCTTTGATCACAAATCATCAAAACATTCATCCAAATTTCATCGAAAATCATCTTCCATCCACTTCCTCAATCATACCAATGGTCATTTCAGGAACCTAGATTGGAGGTACCTAACATATCCTAACCTTTTATATGTGGCCTTTGATCATGGCCATCATGATTTTTTTCTCAACCAATCTCAGATCCGATGGATTGCCAACTCGCTCGCCCCCTTGGGGGCGGATCAAATTCGGGCCGTTTTTCCGGCCGGCGCTAGGCACCCAGCAACGCGTGACCGACAGCAACGCGTGCAGGGCAGGAACCGCGACTGAAGCACTGTGGGGGGGCGCTGAGCAAAGGCATCAGTTGACTGCAGGAATCCCACTACCAAAAAACATGGGGCTTCAATCCCACTTGAATGATTAGCAATCGTGATTTAAAACCACTATAACCCAACAATCATGGGAAAAAAATGACTCGTGACAATAAAACGTCGCCAATCTGATTAAATACCTCCACATCAGAGCCCTGATTTAGCTGATCCTTTTGGTAGGGAGATGGGATTACACCATCAAGAAAACCAGGATTTAATCTGTGTGCCCACCTTAGGTTTTTCGTATTATACATATGCCAAAACTTCCCAAAATTACCTGTTCACTTCAGAAAAGGGTTCTATCCCCGGATTACCCTCAAAATAGCTATAGGGGAAAACGGTGACAAACCACATAATTTGTCCCCATAATTCTTGGACCCGAATGTATGTCTTACAAACTTTGAATGGTAATGCGTGGTTTTACCATGTTCTACCATGTAACTGTATCAATCAAATGTGTTTCCACTTCACATGCGAACAACTTCTGCTATCCATTTCCAAAGATCAGAGTAAGTTGACCAGAACCTGACCATCAAAACCTTATTCAGAAAACACGGTCAAAACATCTTCGTATAAACTGACGCTACTTTAAAACATACCCTTTGGTAAACTAACATAGCTATTGAAAATGGCCCAGTCGAAATAGTGAGTTTTCCCAGCTATAAAATGGTGGATCTTTCCATAGCAAGCTGTTAGTTTACCAGAGGCTACTGACCATCAAACATCAGATACCCTCTGGTAATTTGTTACATAGCTATTGAAAATGGCCATTTATAGTGGATTTTCCCATTGAAAATGGTGGATCTTTCCATAGTTATGTTAGTTTACCAGAGGGTACTGACCATCAAACATCAGATATTCCTCAGATTTTCGCCGTCACCCCGGCGTCATCAGCGTATGTCGCGGCGACTTGCTGGGCGTCGATGGGCACACGCTGTCGCCGCCCTGGGACCGGACTGGGACCGATTGAACATGACTGAAGCAACAAAAATTGGGATTTAAGGGAGATATACAATGGGATATATGTCTATATGTGGATATATAATGGGATATAAGGGAAACTGTTGCAATTTATGGCAATGTTAAATAGAGAAAATGGTGGTCAAGCATGTTAAATGTCTCATCCAAGCACAGACTTCAGACTCACCCACGCACGGAAGCCAGACTACGCACACATCACTGGCTTCGTCCATCTTACAGTCTTGGGTGGGCAAAACTTAAGGCGGCGGTACCCCAATAGCTGGATGGTTTAGAATGGAAAATCCTACTAAAATGGATGATTTGGAGGTACCCCTATTTTAGGAAACCACCATATGTTCATAAGCCTTTTGTCGACCATCCAAACCGTTGGGGGGCAATCGTTTCCGGTCACCAAACAGGGACATGGAAAATTTTAGTGAAATCCAGACGTCCATTGCCACTCTTGTGGGAGGGTCTCTGGATCATTTGCAATTAATCCAAAACCCAACATTGATATGTTCCCAACATTCAACATCATATAAAGGGACGTTGTCGATGATATTTTCCCAACATTCAACATTTATGGAGCTTGGTGATGAAAAAAGAGTTAAGTCGCTGATTAAAAACGAAGCACTGTTCTGAACCATTTGGTGATGTTTCCTCCAAAAAATGCCGGGACCGGGATACCCCCACGCTACCATCCAAGTCCCACTGGTGATCAGTGGGAAAACCCATCGTTTCTGGTCCCCCACCTCTTCCTCCTTGAAGGTGGTGGCCTGACCAGTTTGTTCGACCATAAATGTGTCGTTTTTCAAGACCCAATGGCTGGGATTTTCCACCAGTCATGCAGTGGGTCATGCGAAGCAGGCGAGAAAAGGTGATGTCGAGGGATGATCATCCGCCAAAGATTAGGAACAGCTTTCTTTGAAGTGAACCAAGTATCTGTATACATGTATTTGTATATCATCACCAAGCCCAGTTTAATATAGTATGAATATGCCCATTTCCAGTGATTTCACTGTAACCTCATTCTTACTGACTCAATTCCATGCCTATACATGGTTATATACCCAACTATTGGTCGGCAAATACTCCGGGATCTCTTCAGATTTCCATAGATGTCCTATATTCCCATGAAATTCCATAAACCTTCTTTTTGCCATCCCAGGTCATTCCATATCCATTTTCTGATCCGATCACACTGTCGGCCCACCTTGATGTGTCTGAACATGGAGTGATTGAAGATGTCTTGAATACCTCGGACAGACCAGAAGTCCCGAGAAAAAATTGAATCGCAAATCAACATGGAATGTCTTTGGGAACAAGTTGGTTACTGCAAAACTAACATAGCTATGACAAATCACTATGATTAATCGGTAAATACACTATAAATGAGCCATGTTCAATAGATATGTTAAATTGCCAGAGGGTAATTTTGGGTCGGCATTAAACCGCGAATTCAGGAGATAATCGTTGGCACTCTGGGAATTGATTCATCCATGGTTGCAAATGGCGGTGTCTCAGACTTCGGCACCCCATTCTTTCCCATTTTGAGATAAACCCATATATGATGTTGGAATGGTATTTATTTAGACATATTTATACATTATATATATATATGTATTATTATTATATATATATATATTATTATATATATACACACAGTATATACATATATACCCATTCTATCCTCACCAGCAACAAACTCCGCTATTGGGCGCTTTCTTTCACCACCTTTTGCCGTTCCTCCAAGCTACTGGAATGCCTTGGCGAAGCTTGTGTGCTATTGGGATTGTTGGGATCTGCCTGTCCCTGGGCCTCAGCGCGCTTGCGCCGCTGCAGCCGGGAATGGTCTGAAATTTTGATCCCCAATTTCTGAGCATGTAAAAATCATTGAAAAATGCGTGACATTGTCCCAAAACGGAAGCAAAATGAGACTCCCAAACTCACCCGATTTACACCAAAAACACAGGAAAGCAATGAAAATGAATGTTTTGCAGTTGGACAAACGAAAGTCATGCTTTTCAAAGGTTTTGGCTATTATTCAAAACACCAAAAAGTGTGTAGACATCAGAAGAACCGCTACTTGAGGTTTTGCTTACAATGCTAGTGCCTTTTGTCTGCATTTTGTGATCAATGTTTCACTCGGCTTGCCAGATCTTACATCATTATGTATTAGAACATATTTGAACCCAAACAAGACGAAGAAGGCATATAATATGTCTCTAGGATTGAGGCGAAATTCCAAGCACCACAAAAATTTGATCATCTGCATTTTCGGCCACTTTTCCTCAACCAGACCCTTTCCAAACTCGGAATCCCAAAACGACATGCTTTGGAAGATGCCTTTCCACTTGGCAATCGCCCAAATATTTCCGTGGCTCCAATCATCTGCCCATGTCGCGGCATTGCTTAAGCGGGGCGCTGAAGCGTCATGCGCTCTCAGTTCATCCAAGTAGTTCAAAACTTCCTCAAAGAGAACCTCCACCTGTACGGATAAGACGTGACCAGAGGTTGGAGTTTCTGGTTAAATAGCCCTCCTGAGGATTTTTGAATAAACGAAGTGTAGCATTGAAATTGTATATGGTATAATTATCAATATTTATGTATTTACTTATTTGTATAAGGGTGGATTTCCATGAACTATGCGGAACAGTGCTGGAATGGAGGGAACACATGCACGAAGATATCTGAACATGTATGAAAATGTTCAATGCTCATTCATCCACTGACTTCTCACAAACAAGCTAGTGTATAGGAAGTGTGGGATGATCGAAAACAAAACCCCTTCCATGCAAAGTTCCAGAAAGCGGAAATCAATTTATAGCTATAACCCACCGGAATGAAACAAATCCCTGAATTGATTCAAGAGATCTGATTGTTGTGTATCCCCTGCTCTACTGGGATTCATTTAATTTGGATCCCTAGCAGGTATGTCGGCCATGACATGACAGTGAGTTTGGACCCGACACATCCTGTTGAATGAAGGAGATTGTTTTTGAAGAAGTTTCCACCTGCAAACCAGGTTTTATATGATTGGTATCTACATCTTCAAATCACCTAAAACAAAAAAACACCATGAAGATCCATGAAAAGCTGCATGTCAAAAAGAAACCAATTTGCAGGTTTCCTAAAATGGGGGATCCCCAAGTCACCATAGGTTTCAATACTAAGTCATGGTCTAATGACTTGGATGATTTGGGGGTACCCCCATGGCTTAGGAAACCTCCAAATTGGATCAATGCATGGTATGCCGTCACTAGACCGAAGACCAGTGCCCAAAACATCCCAAGGCCCCAAAACGTCATCCGCGCCCGAGCCTTGGTTTCCATGCCTTCGGTGGGCGAAAGGGTGCAAAAAATGGTTACGGAAATACAAGGAACAGATGGAGAATATGCTTGGAAGATGTTGGAAGATCGAAATATCCCATCAATATCCAAAGAATGTTTGAAATATACAACATAGATTTGGATTTAAGCAACCAAAATATGAATATCGATGGGATATATTCAACCAATATAATTTCTGGGAATGTCCAAAGATGGTGCATGGACACTGAGAATGGAGATGTGATTTCAAGAGTGCCCCACGTTTGGATATTTTGGTTGACCAATGACTGACACAAACATGTTGATACAAAACTTTGGATATAGATGCACCAAAACAATCCAGAATATGTGCAATTATTCTCCAAACCACTACAAAAATCGGTTCATGTTCGTAGTAAGAAAAAACACAAACTGAAAAGAATATGTGTGATCCGACCTTTGAAACGCCCGCTGGCAGCCTTTTTCATTGTTGTATCACATCCAGTTCATTAGTGGCAACTGTTTACAATACTGGTTGTAAGGGTCGCGTGCTGTTGCTTCGACCCACCTTTCGATATGGGCGCATGTGTTTTTGTTGATATGTCTTATATATTTTTATTTGCTTCCAGCCTGCAAGCCATCATGAAACCCAAAAAAATGGTTGTGGAAAATGATTTGTTTTGGATTAGTTTTGGGGCCCGGTAGTGTTTTTTGGGCGCATGTAAATGTCAGGTGATCACACACCATTTTTTGTTTCTGATTGTTTGGTTGAAACCAACTATTATGTTTTTCAACGCCAGTTGTCTTTGTCCCTTTCGCCGTTGTTGCGTTGTGGCCATCGCCGTCGTTGTCGTTGCGTTGTCGTTGTCGTTGTCGTCGTCGTCATTGTTGTTGTTGTCTAGTCTGTCCATTGTGTCCATTGTGTTGTGCTGTGCTGCGCTGCGTTGCGCTGCGCTATGCTGTGTTGTCTGTTTTGTCCTTGTTGTCTGTGTTGTCTGCACTGTCTGTGTTGTCTGTGTTGTCTGCACTGTCTGTGTTGTCTGTGTTGTTTGTCGTGTCTTTGTTGTCTTTGTTGTCTTTGTTGTCTTTGTTGTCTTTGTTTTGGTTGTTGTGTTTGCAGTCTGTGTTGCGTTTGTTGCGTTTGTTGCGTTTGTTGCGTTTGTTGCGTTTGTTGCGTTTGTTGCGTTTGTTGCATTTGTTGCGTTTGTTGCGTTTGTTGCGTTTGTTGCCTTTGTTGCGTTTGTTGCGTTTGTTGCGTTTGTTGCGTTTGTTGCGTTTGTTGCGTTTGTTGTGTTTGTTGTGTTTATTCTCGTTCTCGTTTTTGTTCTTGTTGTTAATGTTGCTGCTGGTGCTGCCTCGTTCCAGCAGTTGTGATGCAGAAAATGTCAAGGACATACCCTTTTGCTGGCAACTAATGACATGCTGGAGTTTTTTCTGCTTTCCCAAACGCACCGCCTACCAAGCACACCGCCTATGCCCCATTATTGTTGATGATATTGCTGGTTGGTGAGCACCCAAGATCTATTTGTTGAATTCACCTGTTTGATCTTTAGGCCCCCGTTTGCATCTAATTCCACCATGCGGTACCAATACGTCCAATTATGCACCTCCAGTTTTGAACCATCAAAATATTGAAGTAAGTGGTGATTTTCCCCTCTTGAACCATAGCCCAGGAAGTCACCAACCGCGAACTTTTCCACGCCGAGCCACGCCACACGTCCAAAGCCTTGGCCGATCCACGTAAGCGGGCCGCCCCATCGATAAACTCAGTGAGCCTCAGGGTGAATGTCCCTGCCGGAGGCTGGCCGTTGGCAGGTTTAACCAAGGCATTTGAGAATTCTACACCTTGCTCCCGCCCAAAACATGCATGGATGAACCCACACCACAATGAACATGCGGGCATGCACAACGAACAAGAGATGAAAACGCTTTTCACATGCAGATATGAAACGGCAATATCTGGCAATATCTACGCACCGCAGTTGGGAATATCACCGAAAAAATGCGAATATGAAACAAAACACCCCTGAGTGTGAAGATGGAAAGGGCCTCCCATCACAGTGGAACCAACAGACATCATATAGATATAGCCAATAAACATGTTGCGGCACTTCAACAAGCACTCCGGCAACGGACCCCAAACAGTGTAGGGGGAGTAACTCACCGGAAGTAATTTCGTTCGATCTCCATACAAACTGGTTGAATGGAATTCACCAGATCTCTGCACAACGGTTCACAAAATCTCTGTACAAGGATCTTCTGTGGGAATTCACAGGACCTCCCTACAAGGACCTGCAAAGGAATTCACAACATCTCTATAAAAAGATCTTTCAAGGAACCCACAGGATCTCTGCATAAGGATCGCTGTACAAGGATCCATCATAGGAGCTCACAAGACCTCGCAGGATCCCTGTGTAAGGAACTTCTCAGCTTTAGAGGAACTCACAAGATCTCCGTAAAAGGACCTTCCAAGGAATTTGCAGGTTCTCTGTACAAGGATCTCTGTACAAAGATCTCTGTATAAGGATCCATCAAAGGAGTATATCGTATTTTTTATCCTTGTCTTTCGAACTGTCTACACCGAGCCTACGCCATTGCATGAGGTAGCCTACGCGGGGTGTGGTTTTTAAGGGGTGCCTACGCGAGCCTACGCGGTGCAGGCTTTGCCTACCGGGCCATGGTTTCTTTTTGTTTTCGATTGTGGCATGAGGCTTTGGAACCACAAACCACAAATATCACAACTAACCAAGGCAAAATGAATGAGTTCTAACTGTTCCCAACGAGTGTCTACATCAAGCCTACGTGCTGTCACCTAAAACAAGGCTACGGCGCCAGGTGCGACCCCTCAGAAAACACACCTTTTTTTTCCAGGCTCTGACGACATAGCGTGGTATTTACAGTGTTTTGCAACTGTCACTGCCAACTTGCGACTTGAAACTGAGTGACTTTCGTAAGGCGGGGGAGTCATTGTCCTTTTTCATAGTGTTTTTTGCAAGGTATTTTGACCATATTGAATAGCATTTCCCGGGGGTGCTTTATTTAGTCGCAATTTTTGGCCAGCTTTCCCAAAAGGTTCCACATCTTATATCCAGCTTTGTAACGAAACATAAAGCTTTTCATCATATCCAACAACCGGCCGCACACTTGACGATCCAAACGTAGCATCAAGTCGGTGGGCAAGTGCAAGAGACATGTTACAACGTAGCGTCAAGTCGGTGGGCAAGTGCAAGAGACATGTTACAACGTAGCATCAAGCCGGTGGGCACGTGCAAGAGACATGTTACAACGTAGCGTCAAGTCAGTGGGCAAGTGCAAGAGACGTGTTACAACGTAGCATCAAGTCGGTGGGCACGTGCAAGAGACATGTTACAACGTAGCGTCAAGTCGGTGGGCAAGTGCAAG